AAGGAAGGTGAAATTAGACCCGCAGTACCTGAGAAGCTTCCAGAGCTCACCTATGGCCTGCACCAGTCCCCCTACCCCCAAGAACTATGCCCAGCTCTCCCAGGGCTGGGAGCACACTGGGACGCAGGGGCAGATTCCTCCCTCAGCCCCCCAAAGCACTCCTGGGTGCCCAGGACAGCCAGGGCTGCATCCCCCCCCATTGCCCAGTTTCAGGGCACCACAGCAGCTCTCAGCAGGGACCAGCAGCTGCCAGACACACGGCAGCCAGGTGGGCAGCCTGCAGAGGTGGGAGCTTCTTCCCTGCAAGCAGGGTGAGGATGGCGCTGCGCAGGGCTTGAGGGCTTCCCTTTGTCCAGCCCATCCCGGCAGCTGGGGGACCGGCAGGATGTCCCTGGGCAGGCACTGGTTGGTGGACACAACTCAGCCACTGCTTCCCTGCTGCCGCAGATGCCAGTGAGCGTCCTGCTACAACCACCGTGTCATTCCCTGCGGGACTCCCCACAGGCTGACACATCCCTGAGCGAGGGACCAGCATGTGCGTGGCTGTGTATCCCCACGTGTGACAGTCCTGTTGTGCCACCTCAGCACCAGCCATCAGGGGACCCTGGCACAGGCACCATCACCCACTCCCACCCACGGGTGCCTGGCATGCAAGGCGCAGCAGGACCAGGCAGCAGGCTCCCCCGATCCTCGGGGAGCAGGACGGACAGCAACATACCCATTGTGCTGGGGGGTGCAGGTAGGCGCCAGGGGCGTGTACGTCACAGGTTTCGTCACCAGCCCGGGCCGTGGGTTCGGAGGCGAGCCGGCCCCAAAGGGCCGAGCTGTTTTGTTGAGGGCGGTGCTGGGAGCGAAGTTATATTTCAGGGGTTCAGAGCAGGGGAGTGAGTCCTGAGCGAGACAAAACATACAGACACAGGCTCACACGTCAAGCAGCATGCAAGGGGCAGCCCCGGGCCAGACAGCGCAGCAGGCAGCCAGGTAGGGAAGTCGGACAGCACGTGCACCTCAGATACCAGCTCTGCCAGGCTGGCACCTCTCTCCACAGGGCTCCCAGCCCAGTGACAGCAGTCACAAGCCCAGCCCGACGGTCACTGGAGGATTAGTAGAGTGACACGGATGCTCGCTACTGCCCGCGACAGGGTGGTGCATGCACACACGCCGATTGTAACTGTCCCACGGCATGAAGCTGAATGCATGCAGGAGGTTTCCATCCAGGAGCCACCGGTCACTGGCCCCAGCCCTGCCTCCCCGTGCCAGGGCACTCCCCAGCACTAGCAAACATGAGGCCCTGAGGCTGTGCTGCGGCTGCCTGGCCTCCTTCCCTGCATCGGCCCCTCTGCACCCCTGCCCGCACCCAGCACCAGCAGGGGCACAGACAGGCAGCAGCCAGGGTCCAGGCACCCACTGGACAGACCCCGCTCCCTCCAATCCCGTGGTGCCAGGGGTCAGAGCTGTTCCTCCAGTGGGGAGTCTTCCAGCCCTCCAAACACACCCCAGTCCCTCAGAAGCCTGCAGGCCCCAGGAACAAAGTCCATTTGTCCATCTATGCTCAGAGATTCCCCTCCCCTGAGACAAGGCTGAGCTGTCGCTGCAGCGCCAGGAGCAACACGTACCTTCTGCGGCTTCCCCAGGTGGTTCTGGGCTCTGCAAGAGAGGAGACAGCTGGGCAGGTGTGGGAACCGGTCCAGCCACTGCTGGGATGCTGGTACCCCAGGGACACAGCATGCACCCAAGGGGAGCCATGGCTGGCTGGCACTGCCCCATGGCTCGCGGGTGAGGACCAGCAGCCAGGGTGAGCCTCATCCAGCCAAACAGAGCCCTTGGGCCCATCCAGGGGCTGCCAGGCTCTGAGCAAGGAGCAGTGATGCCAGGAGACGGCAATGCCAGGAGATGGTACTGGGCAGAGGGCCCTGGCTCTGCTCTGGCCCCACCGGGACCCCAGGTTTGCAGGACCCACAAATCATACCTGCTCAGGGTGAGGCAGAGCCTGTCCCCGCAGGCGCGGATCCTGTTCTGGGCCTCGATGTGCGTCATGGAGCTGGTGCTCTCCCCGTCGATGTACAGCACCCAGTCGCCCACTCCCACACCAGCCTGGGCCGCCTTCCCACCCGGCGTCAGCTGCAGGACAAACAGAGTCAGGGAGAGCCAGGCCGGTTGAGTGGCAACACAGGAGCAGAGGGACGCCCTTGTCCTCATGATAGCAAGGGTCTGCTGGGGCCCAGGCTTGCTCATGCAAGGCCCAGCCCAGAACACACACACAGGCCTGGCCTGGGGGAGGTAGGGACCCACGAAGCACCCAGGGTTCCCGTCCCCATGATGCTGAACAGCAGAGGCAGCTGGCTCAGTCTCATCAGGAGGCCCAGCCACCCCTCAGAGCCATCCCCACGGTCCCAGGGCAGGAAGGAGTGTAGTGAGTCAGGGCCTATTCGGCAGCCCACGTCTCACTGTGAACCACAGGCATGTCCAGCCCTCCGCCTGGGGCAAGGGGGCAGACAGGGGACGCACCCCCAGGTACTCCCCCCAGCCCTCCACACTCCCATCCCGTTCCCCTCCCGG